AACTTCTGACCACAGCACTTTATTAGTTGACAGGCAGTTTCGGGGTGAAGATAGTTTACTTGTGCTATGAGGAATTTAAAGCTTCTTCGTCACTGTGAGCTTCCACATACTATTAACTCACTTGATAATCATTCCTCTTGATGTTTGGAACATCCATATTATGAGTTGATGGGCAAATATCTTCATATTTTTTACCAGTGAAGATATCAATACCAACCAAGTGGACCTACAAGAAAGACAGAAAAAATCAGTAGTTATTGTTGGCCCTAGAGAAGCAAGATACCACTGCTGTCAGTATTGCTGGTTCCATGTAGTTGTATCAGAGATCGCATGCAGCCTACCCAACTCTGCCTGGCCCCTTTGCTTGTGGTATGAAAACAGTTTAAGCCTTCAGAGGAGGCCTCTCAGACACATGCTTGCACAGCCTACTAGAGAAACATTGCAGGAGAAGGAAGATCAGCCTAAGCTCTTCTTCCATAGCCAGTTTCACAATAAAAAAAAAGATAAAGCTCAGCTAAGTATGTGGCTACTGAAAGAACATTTACTTCAAATTCTAGCTCTTCTAGGAGATAGAACAGCATCAGTGACAATGTGAAAGTTAAGGAGAAAAGACCCGGCACAGAGAGTAAAGCAACTCCCACCTCCCTTTATGCTAGCAGCAGCTGTCCATTGCAGCTAGCACTTGGATTACCAGTTTACAGCCTACTCTTATTGTGTTCTTTCACTCTCACAACTGTTTCAGTGTTTAAGAAAACTGAGTAAAACGTGCCATAAAAATAAAATAAAATAATTTAAAAAAAAGCACCCAACTCTGCACTGAGGGAGGGAGAAAAGAAGAAATTTTTCCATACAAGTAATTTAGGCATACAGGATTGGTATACCCTAGGCCTGACAAATTCAAAGTACTGGTTTAACACATATCATACAAGGCTGTGGAAACGTAAGAATCTAATTAGTCCACGCTTGTAACAGATCTGTCTGCTCTTAAACTCTAATGTACCCACCCTAAAGCCTTGCTGAGTGAATTAAGGGGAAAGTCTAAACTTGATCCAAGCTCTGGACAGCTGCATAAACCAACTGCTTAGGCAGCAGGACTGCAGCCCCAGACAGCAGCCTAAGAATGTCCCTGCTGGGACACAGGAGGGGGAAGGCAGTCCACACTCAGCGCAGAGAGAAGGAAAGAAGGAGAAGGCAAGCAAGCAAAACAGGGCCAGACCAGGCCCACAGAGATATGATTATCCACTGAATTTCTCCTCTCAATTATGTAACAGAGGATGGGCATTTCTGGTGAGCGTTGGAGTCTAGTACAACACTGGAAGTCTGCTAGCACGAGCAGACTCAGAAGTGCTCTGGTGGGGAGGGAGAGCACAACCCCAACCACACCCTAGCGATTTCATCGGCCCCTTCCTTCCAGAATTTACCCTAGCCCTGCTACAAAGCCACGTTTTGCCCCATCATGCCTTTAAGCAAGTGTGTGTGTGCGTGTGTGTGTGTGTGGGGGGGGGAACTAAATCAAAACCAAACTGCCCCCATTCCTTTCTCCTTTATATTACTGGAAACCCTCGAGGTGGCTCCCGACCGAGGGAGCAGCGCTGTGAGAAGAGCGACGGCAGGACACGGGGCAGCCTGCCAGGTGAAACGCTGCCCTCGGCCCCGGCGGGGGCAGCGGG